AAAAAAAAGTGGGAAAGAGAAGAGAGACGGCATGCAGCACTTCAAGAAGCGTGGCGACTGGATGCGCTCTCAAATACCATCTACATGTACATCAATCAAATTCAGAATGATTTTGGCAATATGTTCCCTCAAATTTTTCTTGGGGCAAAGAACTTCAGAAAATCAAACTTGCAGACACATTCAGGAATTACATGTAGAAATACTTCCCATACAGGAAGGCTTTAGGGGACAAAAATGTGGAGAAACATGTTTCGAAAAGGAATATCAATTTTTTTGTGTATGTATATTGATGAAGCTGGAAGATATTCCAGAAGCAATTCTTAGGTATAGTACAAAAATAGTATTTTTTGTCCGTGATTTTTTTTTCAAACCTCAATAACTCAGTCAATTTATGTCACAAAGGTTAATAAACTATATATTCTTGGTGGGGAAATACAGGAGCAGGTTTGTACAGGTTTATGATGCTGTATGACATCATCTCAATTTTGGTGGTCTCCCAACCACTTCTCAACAAATTCTCAATCAATGGATGTTATCCATTTGATATCCATTTCATAACTTTCTCATAACTTGCTCATAACTTGCTAGGGTCGGTGGGAGGCACTGGCCTGCCAGTGACTTGTGATTGGGGGCTGTGCAGGTTAATACAATTTCAGAATCATTTAGGAACAGCTTCTGGACTGCTCAAAGTTATTGGACCTCCAAAAACAGTAGTGAAAAATTTCATACTCAGGTGTTTTTCCGCAGAGCGTGCGGGAGAACACCTTCAGCAGTTATACCTTGGAGAGATGACTGCGGGATCATGCTATGATGTGTGTGGATAGGCTTCCAGTTTGACCAAATTCATAGTGGAAGCCTATCCATACACTATAAAACATATCATTCTCATTCAACAGAGTGATACCAAAAGTTTGAACACCTCAACTGTTCAATCTTTCTGTCACTATGGTGGGGTGTATAAATTTATTATAATAATTCAGCACACGCACGATAGCATTGTAGAAGATTCCATCTTGACTCCCGCCCACCTTGCCCAGAGTGAATCAGCCTCTAAGAATATGCCTAAGAATATGCAACAATGTAATCTACTCTCTTGGCCAGTCATCCTTTGAGGGGCGATACCCAAAGGATGACTGGCCACCGGATTTCATCTATCCGCACCTATACTCCCCTGATCTTACCTCAGACCACAGAATGTGGGTCCACTGGACTGATTCCAAATGCAGTGGAATGGCAATTGGGAGGTACCCTTGGTAGGTGTGCTGTGTGCTGGCACCATGTGTGGTTGTGGTGTTGCTTGTGAGAAGTGTAATGAGGTCAATCCTTACTCGGTGAGCACTTGGCTAGAATTGCACCCAGATCAGAGGTGACTTGGAGAATCATCTCGGCGCTATTTAGCATTTGCATTATTTTGAGGAGATTTGATGCTGGCACTCCAAAGATGATTCTTGTCTGTGTGTAAGTAGTGTTGGTCAGAGGCCTTTCTACACGATCAGCCAGGTGGATGACCCACGGGTGGAAATATACCAAACATTCAATTAAGTTCCCACAAATGTGCCACTCCATGCAAATGACCATCTTGCAAGTATCACCGCCAGGCACAATGGGTCACCAATTCCGCAATGACTGATTCCGCCATCACTGTACTGTGTGTTTGTCTGACAAACACAGTTCCATGCCCAAAGGTATCCATACAACATAGATCTTGACGCAAAGTCAAGTCATCTACCATGTGGTAAACAGTTATTGAAATAAAAATTGAAATATATTTATTTCAATTTTCCCATAAGCAGCCATGTGATCCCCAAATTTGGCGGTGCGGCCAGATTTCAATCTATTAAGCGCAGGTAGATGAAGCAAAAATAACCAGATCACATGTACATGGACTTTTACTAACACACTCTGTACCAAGCAAGAATCTGGAAGCTGATGGATAGAGGTGTTGATGTCAATACCCAGTTCAACAAATACGGAGAAACTTATTTGTTCTTTCCCCCACCCCAATTTCATAATTTTAACCCCCA